TCCTGAGTCTGGGTCTGTGTCCTGAGTCTGGGTCTGTGTCTGAGTCTGATCTGAGTCGGTGTCTGAGTCTGAGTCTGAGGTCTGAGTCTGGGTCTGAGTCTGAGTCTGGAGTCTGAGTCTGGTCTGAGTCTGGTCTGAGTCTGGGTCCTGGGTCTGAGTCTGAGTCTGGGTCTGAGTCTGGGTCTGAGTCTGTGTCTGAGTCTGAGTCTGTGGTCTGAGTCTGAGTCTGGGGTCTGTGTCTGTGTCTGAGTCTGAGTCTGAGGTCTGAGTCTGGAGTCTGGTCTGAGTCTGGGTCTGAGTCTGAGTCTGGGTCTGAGTCTGGGTCTGAGTCTGGGTCTGATCTGAGTCTGAGTCTGTGTCTGAGTCTGGTCTGATCTGGGTCTGGGTCTGAGTCTGGTCTGGTCTGGTCTGAGTCTGGGTCTGAGTCTGAGTCTGAGTCTGAGTCTGAGTCTAGTCAGGGTCTGAGTCTGGGTCTGAGTCTGATCTGAGTCTGAGTCTGAGTCTGAGTCTGAGTCTGAGTCTGGGTCTGAGGTCTGAGTCTGATCTGAGTCCTGGTCTGAGTCTGAGTCTGAGTCTGGGTCCTGAGTCTGATCTGGGTCTGAGTCTGGGTCTGAGTCTCTGTCTGAGTCTGGGTCTGAGTCTGAGTCTGAGTCTGGGTCTGAGTCTGAGTCTGGGTCTGAGTCTGAGTCTGGGTCTGGGTCTGAGTCTGGGTCTGTGTCTGGGTCTGGGTCTGGGTCTGAGTCTGAGTCTGAGTCTGGGTCTGAGTCTGGGTCTGAGTCTGGGTCTGAGTCTGAGGCTGAGGCTGGGTCTGAGTCTGGGTCTGAGTCTGGGTCTGAGTCTGAGTCTGAAGTCTGAGTCTGAGTCTGAGTCTGAGTCTGGGTCTGAGTCTGAGTCTGAGTCTGGGTCTGAGTCTGAGTCTGGTCTGAGTCTGAGTCTGGGTCTGAGTCTGAGTCTGGGTCTGGGTCTGAGTCTGAGTCTGAGTCTGGGTCTGGGTCTGAGTCTGAGTCTGAGTCTGAGTCTGGGTCTGAGTCTGGGTCTGAGTCTGGGTCTGGGTCTGAGTCTGGGTCTGAGTCTGGGTCTGGGTCTGAGTCTGGGTCTGGGTCTGAGTCTGGTCTGGGTCTGGGTCTGAGTCTGGGTCTGGGTCTGGGTCTGAGTCTGGGTCTGAGTCTGAGTCTGAGTCTGGGTCTGGGTCTGAGTCTGGGTCTGAGTCTGAGTCTGGGTCTGGGTCTGAGTCTGAGTCTGGGTCTGGGTCTGAGTCTGGGTCTGAGTCTGGGTCTGAGTCTGAGTCTGGGTCTGAGTCTGAGTCTGGGTCTGGGTCTGAGTCTGAGTCTGGGTCTGGGTCTGAGTCTGGGTCTGAGTCTGGGTCTGAGTCTGAGTCTGAGTCTGGGTCTGGTCGGTCTGAGTCTGGGTCTGAGTCTGAGTCTGGGTCTGGGTCTGAGTCTGGGTCTGAGTCTGGGTCTGAGTCTGAGTCTGAGTCTGGGTCTGGGTCTGAGTCTGGTCTGGGTCTGGGTCTGAGTCTGAGTCTGGGTCTGAGTCTGGGTCTGAGTCTGGGTCTGAGTCTGGGTCTGAGTCTGAGTCTGGGTCTGAGTCTGAGTCTGAGTCTGGGTCTGGGTCTGGGTCTGGGTCTGAGTCTGGGTCTGGGTCTGAGTCTGAGGTCTGGGTCTGGGTCTGAGTCTGGGTCTGAGTCTGGGGTCTGAGTCTGAGTCTGGGTCTGAGTCTGAGTCTGGGTCTGAGTCTGAGTCTGGGTCTGGGTCTGGGTCTGAGTCTGAGTCTGAGTCTGGGTCTGGGTCTGGGTCTGAGTCTGAGTCTGGGTCTGAGTCTGGGTCTGGGTCTGAGTCTGAGTCTGGGTCGGGGTCTGGGTCTGTCTGGGTTCTGGTCTGGTCTGAGGTCTGGAGTCTGGGGTCTGAGTCTGGGTCTGGGGTCTGGGTCTGAGGTCTGGAGTCTTGGGGTCTGGGGCGGGTCTGGGGTCTGAGTCTGGGGTCTGGGTCTGGGTCTGGGTCTGAGTCTGGGGTCTGGGGTCTGGGGTCTGGGTCTGGGGTCTGAGGTCTGGGTCTGGGTCTGAGTCCTGAGTCTGGGTCTGGGGACCTGGTGTACTGGGGTCCTGGGGTCTGGGTCTGGAGTCCTGCGGTCTGAGTCTGGGGTCTGGGTCTGATGGACTGGAGTCTGGGGTCTGGGTCTGAGTCTGGGTCGGAAGTCTGAGGGTCTGGGTCTGAGTCTGAGGTCTGGGTCTGGGGTCTGGAGTCTGGGGTCTGAGTCTGGGTCTGGGGTCTGGAGTCTGAGTCTGGGGTCTGGGTCTGGAGTCTGCGGTCTGGGTCTGAGTCCTGGGTCTGGGTCTGGGGTCTGAGTCTGGGTCTGGTCTGGGTCTGAGTCTGGAGTCTGGGGTCTGAGGTCTGGGGTCTGGGTCTGGGGTCTGAGGTCTGGGTCTGAGTCTGGGGTCTGGGTCTGGGGTCTGGGGTCTGAGGTCTGAGTCTGGGGTCTGAGGTCTGGGTCTGGGGTCTGGGTCTGAGGGTCTGGAGTCTGGGTCTGAGGTCTGGGGTCTGGGGTCTGGGTCTGAGGTCTGGGTCTGGGGTCTGGGTCTGAGGTCTGGAGTCTGGGTCTGAGGTCTGGGGTCTGGGGTCTGGGGTCTGGGGTCTGAGGTCTGGGGTCTGGGTCTGGGGTCTGAGGTCTGGGTCTGGGGTCTGGGTCTGAGTCTGGGGTCTGGGGTCTGAGGTCTGGGACTGGGGGTCTGGGTCTGGAGTCTGAGTCTGGGGTCTGGGGTCTGAGGTCTGGGGTCTGGGGTCTGGAGTCTGAGGTCTGGGGTCTGGGGTCTGAGGTCTGGGTCTGGGGTCTGGGGTCTGGGTCTGGGTCTGGGTCTGAGGTCTGAGGTCTGGGGTCTGGGGTCTGGGGTCTGGGGTCTAGAGTCTGGGGTCTGGGTCTGGGTCTGGGTCTAGAGTCTGGGGTCCTGGTCTGGGTCTGGGGTCTGAGGTCTGGGGTCTGAGGGGGGGGTCTGGGGTCTGAGGTCTGGGGTCTGGGGTCTGGGGTCTGAGGTCTGGAGTCTGGGGTCTGAGGTCTGGGGGGTCTGGGGTCTGGGGTCTGAGGTCTGGGTCTGGGGTCTGGGTCTGGGGTCTGGGGTCTGAGGTCTGGGGTCTGGGGTCTGGGGTCTGGGTCTGAGGTCTGGGGTCTGGGGTCTGAGGTCTGGGGTCTGGGGTCTGGGGTCTGAGGTCTGGGGTCTGGGGTCTGAGGTCTGGGGACTGGGGTCTGGGGTCTGGGGTCTGAGGTCTGGGGTCTGGGGTCTCTGGGGTCTGGGTCTGAGGTCTGGTCTGAGGTTCTGGGGTCTGGGGTCTGGGGTCTGGGGTCTGGTCCTGGGGTCTGGGGTCTGGGGTCTGGGGTCTGAGGTCTGAGGTCTGAGGTCTGGGGTCTGGGGTCTGGGGTCTGGGGTCTGGGGTCTGAGGTCTGGGGTCTGAGGTCTGGGGTCTGGGGTCTGGGGTCTGAGGTCTGGGGTCTGGGGTCTGGAGTCTGAGGTCTGGGGTCTGGGGTCTGGGGTCTGGGGGGTCTGGGGTCTGGGGTCTGGGGTCTGGGGTCTGGGGTCTGAGGTCTGGGGTCTGGGGTCTGAGGTCTGGGGTCTGGGGTCTGGGGTCTGAGGTCTGGAGTCTGGGGTCTGAGGTCTGGGGTCTGGGGTCTGGGGTCTGGGGTCTGGGGTCTGGGGTCTGAGGTCTGGGGTCTGAGGTCTGGGGTCTGGGGTCTGGGGTCTGGGGTCTGGAGTCTGGGGTCTGGGGTCTGGGGTCTGGGGTCTGAGGTCTGGGGTCTGGGGTCTGGAGTCTGAGGTCTGGGGTCTGGGGTCTGGGGTCTGGAGTCTGAGGTCTGGGGTCTGAGGTCTGAGGTCTGGGGTCTGGGGTCTGGGGTCTGGGGTCTGGAGTCTGAGGTCTGGGGTCTGGGGTCTGGAGTCTGAGGTCTGGGGTCTGGGGTCTGAGGTCTGGGGTCTGGGGTCTGGAGTCTGAGGTCTGAGGTCTGGGGTCTGGGGTCTGGAGTCTGAGGTCTGGGGTCTGGGGTCTGGAGTCTGAGGTCTGGGGTCTGGGGTCTGGAGTCTGAGGTCTGGGGTCTGGGGTCTGGGGTCTGAGGTCTGGGGTCTGGGGTCTGGGGTCTGAGGTCTGGGGTCTGGGGTCTGGGGTCTGGGGTCTGGAGTCTGAGGTCTGGAGTCTGAGGTCTGGGGTCTGAGGTCTGGGGTCTGAGGTCTGGGGTCTGGGGTCTGAGGTCTGGGGTCTGGGGTCTGGAGTCTGAGGTCTGGGGTCTGGGGTCTGAGGTCTGAGGTCTGGGGTCTGGAGTCTGAGGTCTGGGGTCTGGGGTCTGGAGTCTGAGGTCTGGGGTCTGAGGGTCTGGGGTCTGGGGTCTGGGGTCTGAGGTCTGGGGTCTGGGGTCTGAGGTCTGAGGTCTGGGGTCTGGAGTCTGAGGTCTGGGGTCTGGGGTCTGGAGTCTGAGGTCTGGGGTCTGAGGTCTGGGGTCTGGGGTCTGAGGTCTGGGGTCTGGGGTCTGGAGTCTGAGGTCTGGGGTCTGAGGTCTGGGGTCTGAGGTCTGGGGTCTGAGGTCTGGGGTCTGGGGTCTGAGGTCTGAGGTCTGGGGTCTGAGGTCTGGGGTCTGAGGTCTGGGGTCTGGGGTCTGGGGTCTGAGGTCTGGGGTCTGGGGTCTGAGGTCTGGGGTCTGGGGTCTGGAGTCTGAGGTCTGGGGTCTGAGGTCTGGGGTCTGAGGTCTGGGGTCTGGGGTCTGGAGTCTGAGGTCTGGGGTCTGAGGTCTGGGGTCTGGAGTCTGAGGTCTGGGGTCTGGAGTCTGAGGTCTGAGGTCTGAGGTCTGAGGTCTGGGGTCTGGAGTCTGAGGTCTGGGGTCTGGGGTCTGGGGTCTGGGGTCTGGGGTCTGGGGTCTGGGGTCTGAGGTCTGGGGTCTGAGGTCTGGGGTCTGGGGTCTGGGCTGTGACCTGTGACCTGTGACCTGTGACCTGTGACCTGTGACCTGTGTCTGTCTTCTCTCAGATCAAGTACAAAGAGTCCTGGCACACTCTGAGAGCTCAGGGCTACAAACTGACCATGCAGGACATACCATTCCAGGCCGCCAAGAGCTCCACGGGCATCGCCAGTGACGTAAGAACTTCATATACACTTCAATGTATATGTATGAGTATATGTATGTACGTACAGTATGTATATGTATGAGTATATGTATGTACATACAGTATGTATATGTATGAGTATATGTATGTACGTACAGTATGTATATGTATGAGTATATGTATGTACATACAGTATGTATATATATGAGTATATGTATGTACATACAGTATGTATATGTATGAGTATATGTATGTACATACAGTATGTATATGTATGAGTATATGTATGTACATACAGTATGTATATGTATGAGTATATGTATGTACATACAGTATGTATATGTATGAGTATATGTATGTACATACAGTATGTATATGTATGAGTATATGTATGTACATACAGTATGTATATGTATGAGTATATGTATGTACATACAGTATGTATATGTATGAGTATATGTATGTACATACAGTATGTATATGTATGAGTATATGTATGTACATACAGTATGTATATGTATGAGTATATGTATGTACATACAGTATGTATATGTATGAGTATATGTATGTACGTACAGTATGTATATGTATGAGTATATGTATGTACATACAGTATGTATATGTATGAGTATATGTATGTATGTGTACGTATTTTTTGTTTATTTGGTTGGGACAGTACATGTTCATGAACACATCAGTCTGGATTGTAGCGTTGGGCTAATTTCCATCCGTTGTCCCACAGTCGCACAAACACACTCATTCACCCTGAACTATTGTACATGTTTTTAGTGGTAGGGGAAACAGGAGCACCCAGAGGAAACCTACACAGACACAGGGAGAACATGCAAACTCCACTCAGAAAGGCCCTGTTCCGAGAGGGATTCGAACCCAGAACCTTCTTGCTGAGAGGCGCCCTGTACATATAGTAACAGCTATTAGGACAATGGATGCAATTTAGCTATTGTGCTAATTCCAGCATATTTATGTTGACGCTGTTTGCAGACACACTGATGAATATGTACTGTCCTAAACTCAAATAAATAAATAAAAATATATGTATATGTACAGCCCTAAATCAGAACAATAGTTATCTTTGAGGACTTTGCTGACCATTAACACAAATCAGAGAATCCAACAGCTCTAACACTGGAAACTGTGGTTGTATTTAGATTTTATTATTTACTTAAAGGAGCAGTGTGTAAACATGTGGCCAAAAGTGGTACTGCAGCCTCTCCCACTCTCCCTGACTCAGGTTGCCAGATATGCAGACGAATCCAGCTGGGACCATAACAGCTGAATAGACAAGAGTTTTGTCAACAACAAATCTATAACCAACACCAACCAATATTCTAATATTATTTAATTTCCTTTCAGTTTTGATTCAAACCCTTTGAAAACAATATAAACCATGTGAATGTTTGCAGTATCGATACAAACACAACCACCTCCTGGACAAAGGGAAACACATCGGCGTGAAGAGCGTGACGGACGACCAGAACGTCCTCCACTGCCTCCTCGCCGGGCGCCTGAACAGTGACCAGCAGTACAGGAAGGACGCCCTGACCACGAGCGGCAACTACCACCTCACCACGGACATGATCAACATCGTGTCCGCCAAGAACGCCCAGGCGCTGGCGAGCGAGCAGGACTACAGGAAGAGGCTGCACGAGTACACGGTGCTGCCCGACGACATGAAGGTCCAGTGGGCCAAGAAGGCGTACGAGCTGCAGAGCCAGGTGCGTTTAGGGGCGGGGCTTATGTAGGGGGGCCAGGTGCGTTTAGGGGCGGGGCCTATGAGGAGGGGCCAGGTGCATTTGGGGCGGGGCCTATGGGTGGGGCCAGGTGCGTTTAGAGGCGGGGCTTATGTGGGGGAGCCAGTTGTGTTTAGGGGCGGGACTTATGGTGGGGAGCCAGGTGCATTTAGGGGCGGGGCCTATGGGTGGAGCCAGGTGGGTTTAGGGGCGGGGCCTATGGGTGGAGCCAGGTGGGTTTAGGGGCGGGACCTATGGGAGGAGCCAGGTGCGTTTAGGGGCGGGGCTTATGTGGGGAGCTAGGTGCATTTAGGGGCGGGGCCTATGGGAGGAGCCAGGTGCGTTTAGGGGCAGGGCTTATGTGGGGGAGCCAGTTGTGTTTAGGGGCGGGGCCTATGGGTGGAGCCAGGTAGGTTTAGGGGCGGGGCCTATGGGGGGAGCCAGGTGCGTTTAGGGGCGGGACTTATGTGGGGGAGCCAGTTGTGTTTAGGGGTGGGACTTATGGTGGGGAGCCAGGTGCCTTTAGGGGTGGGGCTTATTTGGGGTTCTGAGGCTGGAGGTAATCTCTTCTTTAATCTAAGTTTATTTAGTTTTTTATCAAGTTTTCATATTATTCAAGTTTTTTATTTTATTCTTCTTAATTTTATTGTCATGTTTTTTTGGTCAAGTTTTTATTTAATTGGTTTTTAGTTTATTTAAAAATTCTTATTATTCTCAGGTTTGTATTTTATTGAGCCTGTCATGCAGGGTGTTCATAAATGTAATTAATAAAGTATTAATTCCTTCATTGTTGTGAATTGTTTGGTTAATTCAGCTCATTTCTTTTGTTGTAGAATTTGTACAAGTCTGATCTGAACTTCATGAAAGGCGTGGCCTGGGACGGAGCCGGAGCGCCTCAGATGGAGTCGGCTAAAAAGGCCGGAGAACTCCTCAGTGAAGTAAGTCCTCCTGTTCAGATCAGTGGCTTGTGCTCAGTGGCGCCCCCACATGGGCACCGAAAGATTAGAGGAACTCGCCCATATTTGGTCATTTCTCTGGTCCTCCCGGTTCTGTGCAATGGACGAGCTCCCATGATGCTTTGCTCCAAATACGCGTGTGTGGCTCTCATGCACATGCACAGAGGGCAGCGACCAATCAGAGGGCAGCGTTCTGACCAATCAGAGGGCAGCGTTCTGACCAATCAGAGCTGCTGATCAGAGCGAAAACAGTTCAGAACGACAAGAGACACTAAAATCCCCACAAAATCATAAACCTTTATGAAAGCTGATGGTTCTCTGTCAGGTTTTCTGTCAGGTTCTCTGTGTAAACTAAAACAGACCTCAGCTGACAGAGTTCTATGGACATTTTTCTAGGTAACATGAAGTTAGTCTGCAGCACCACAGCGCCTCCTGTGGCCATTGGTGGAACAGCTATAAGCTTTTACTATCCAGACATTATTATAGATCCGGTTCCAGGGTCTTAAAACAAATCAGTGTTGGATTAAATAATATAAAACGACATTAGTATCTTATTTAATTCCAAACACTTTTGTCTCTGCAGAAGAAGTACCGACAGCTCCCGGACAGTCTCAGCTTCACCGCAGTCACAGACTCTCCAGACATCCTCCACGCCAAGAACAGCTACCAGCAGTGCAGCGAGGTACACATGGTCCTGGGACTGGCTTATTATGATTGTGTGACTCTAACAACTATGATTGTGTGGCTCTAATAACTATGATTGTGTGACTCTAACAACTATGATTGTGTGGCTCTAATAACTATGATTGTGTGACTCTAACAACTATGATTGTGTGACTAATAACTATGATTGTGTGACTCTAACAACTATGATTGTGTGACTCTAACAACTATGATTGTGTGACTAATAACTATGATTGTGTGACTAATAACTATGATTGTGTGACTCTAACAACTATGATTGTGTGGCTCTAATAACTATGATTGTGTGACTCTAACAACTATGATTGTGTGACTAATAACTATGATTGTGTGACTCTAACAACTATGATTGTGTGACTAATAACTATGATTGTGTGACTCTAACAACTATGATTGTGTGGCTCTAATAACTATGATTGTGTGACTCTAACAACTATGATTGTGTGACTCTAACAACTATGATTGTGTGACTAATAACTATGATTGTGTGACTAATAACTATGATTGTGTGACTAATAACTATGATTGTGTGACTCTAATAACTATGATTGTGTGGCTCTAACAACTATGATTGTGTGGCTCTAATAACTATGATTGTGTGACTCTAACAACTATGATTGTGTGACTAATAACTATGATTGTGTGACTAATAACTATGATTGTGTGACTCTAACAACTATGATTGTGTGACTCTAATAACTATGATTGTGTGACTAATAACTATGATTGTGTGTCTAATAACTATGATTGTGTGTCTAATAACTATGATTGTGTGACTCTAATAACTATGATTGTGTGTCTAATAACTATGATTGTGTGTCTAACAACTATGATTGTGTGTCTAATAACTATGATTGTGTGTCTAATAACTATGATTGTGTGTCTAATAACTATGATTGTGTGACTAATAACTATGATTGTGTGACTCTAATAACTATGATTGTGTGTCTAATAACTATGATTGTGTGACTCTAATAACTATGATTGTGTGTCTAATAACTATGATTGTGTGTCTAACAACTATGATTGTGTGTCTAATAACTATGATTGTGTGTCTAATAACTATGATTGTGTGTCTAATAACTATGATTGTGTGACTAATAACTATGATTGTGTGTCTAATAACTATGATTGTGTGTCTAATAACTATGATTGTGTGTCTAATAACTATGATTGTGTGTCTAATAACTATGATTGTGTGTCTAATAACTATGATTGTGTGACTCTAACAACTATGATTGTGTGGCTCTAACAACTATGATTGTGTGGCTCTAATAACTATGATTGTGTGACTCTAACAACTATGATTGTGTGACTAATAACTATGATTGTGTGACTAATAACTATGATTGTGTGACTAATAACTATGATTGTGTGACTAATAACTATGATTGTGTGACTCTAATAACTATGATTGTGTGGCTCTAACAACTATGATTGTGTGGCTCTAATAACTATGATTGTGTGACTCTAACAACTATGATTGTGTGACTAATAACTATGATTGTGTGACTAATAACTATGATTGTGTGACTCTAACAACTATGATTGTGTGACTCTAATAACTATGATTGTGTGACTAATAACTATGATTGTGTGTCTAATAACTATGATTGTGTGTCTAATAACTATGATTGTGTGTCTAATAACTATGATTGTGTGTCTAATAACTATGATTGTGTGTCTAATAACTATGATTGTGTGTCTAATAACTATGATTGTGTGTCTAATAACTATGATTGTGTGACTAATAACTATGATTGTGTGTCTAATAACTATGATTGTGTGACTAATAACTATGATTGTGTGACTCTAATAACTATGATTGTGTGTCTAATAACTATGATTGTGTGACTCTAATAACTATGATTGTGTGTCTAATAACTATGATTGTGTGTCTAACAACTATGATTGTGTGTCTAATAACTATGATTGTGTGTCTAATAACTATGATTGTGTGTCTAATAACTATGATTGTGTGACTAATAACTATGATTGTGTGTCTAATAACTATGATTGTGTGTCTAATAACTATGATTGTGTGTCTAATAACTATGATTGTGTGTCTAATAACTATGATTGTGTGTCTAATAACTATGATTGTGTGACTCTAACAACTATGATTGTGTGGCTCTAACAACTATGATTGTGTGGCTCTAATAACTATGATTGTGTGACTCTAACAACTATGATTGTGTGACTAATAACTATGATTGTGTGACTAATAACTATGATTGTGTGACTAATAACTATGATTGTGTGACTAATAACTATGATTGTGTGACTAATAACTATGATTGTGTGTCTAATAACTATGATTGTGTGACTCTAATAACTATGATTGTGTGACTAATAACTATGATTGTGTGTCTAATAACTATGATTGTGTGTCTAATAACTATGATTGTGTGTCTAATAACTATGATTGTGTGTCTAATAACTATGATTGTGTGACTAATAACTATGATTGTGTGTCTAATAACTATGATTGTGTGTCTAATAACTATGATTGTGTGTCTAATAACTATGATTGTGTGTCTGTGCAGCGACTGTACAAGTCCAGGAGGAACGAGGACATGAACAAGTTCACGTTACATTCAGACGATCCCGACTTTGTCCGAGCCAAACTGAACGCACAACAGATCAGTGATGTAAGAGATGTGTGTGTGTATCGTGGTGTGTATGTTTGTGTGTGTATCGTTGTGTGTGTTGTTGTGTGTATAAATGTGTGTGCGTGTATAAATGTGTGCGTTGTTGTGTCTCTGTGTGTATAAATGTGTGTTGTTGTGTGTCTGTGTGTATAAATGTGTGTGTGTTGTTGTGTCTTTGTGTGTATAAATGTGTGTCTGTGTATAAATGTGTGTTGTTGTGTGTCTTTGTGTGTATAAATGTGTGTCTGTGTATAAATGTGTGCGTTGTTGTGTCTCTGTGTGTATAAATGTGTGTGTTGTTGTGTCTCTGTGTGTATAAATGTGTGTGTGTATCGATGTGTCTTGTGTGTGTTGCTTTGTAGCATGTGTTGTGTGTCCACAGAAAGTGTATAAGGCTCATGGAGAGCAGGTGAAGACTTCAGGCCACGACTTGAGGCTGGATGCGATTCCGTTTCAAACAGCGAAGGCCTCTCGTAAGATCGCCAGTGACGTGAGTCCGATTTATTTATCTACATTCATTTACTGCTTTGTTTACTACAGAGGCCAGCTTTGTTTACTACAGAGGCCAGGCGTGTTTATTTGTGTAGCACAGCAGGCCGGTCCAGGCGTGTTTATTTGTGTAGCACAGCAGAGCCGCAGAAACACATCCATCCAGACAAACAAAACACATAAATAGATCTAAAAAGCTAACAAGGTCACAGCAGCAGAGGTTTGTGTTGTTTATGCTTTGTCAACACTGTTTTTAAAGATTATTATTATTATTATTATGACACCATTAAAGCTGCACTAACTCACTTAGGCTATATCCACACGAAGACAAAACGCTTATAATTTCAGAAACTTTTTCTGTAAACACGGAGTTAGCTCAGTAAATGTGTGCGTCCATATGAATGTAGTCAATACGCCTGAAAACGCTGTGAAACTATGCCAGACCTGTTGGTGGCGCTGTGACGCAATGACGGGATCAAGCCCAAACTTCCGTGACGGGAACTGGGCATGCGCAGAATTTAGTAAACAGACAACATGGCGAGTGGGCGAGCTGGTACTACATTAGTATGGACGGACGATGAGGTTGAACTGTTGCTTCGGGTCACACTGGATTACAAAACCAACAAGCTACATTGTTGTTGTCATTATTTTCTGAGTGCGGCGCATGCTGCTTTAACAAGAGGCGGGCGATGACGCAAGCGTCTCAGATACATTGCGGAGAGGCAGTAACCACGGAGCGGCATATACGGAGTTTTGAAATCTTTCCACTCTGGGACCTACTTTCAAAAATGTTCGTTTACACCCCCCCAAAACGCCGGCCTCGTATGGACCATACACTGGATTGATAAAGTATTTTTGCGTTTAGGCCTGAGCTTGACTTCGTGTGGACAGGGCCTTAGAGTTTTAAAAGCAGCGTTTCAAAAGCTCCCCCGCCCCCACTCCCTCAGCCTGTGCTAACGTGCTAACTTTTTACGGAGCTCATGTCTCACAATATGGATCGCAGACACGGGGAGAACATGCAAACTCCACTCAGAAAGGTCTGAGTGGTCTGTGGTCTGTGACAGGTCTGTGCTAACCACAGACCTGTCTGTGCTAACCACAGAAATGTGGCTTTTCTCAAGAAAGTGGGGGCCAGTGGTCCGCTGTGATTGGTCACAATCTGGACCCCAAACACATTCTCTTCCTTGTTGCACAAAAATAAAATGACTCCTGTACAAACCTGCACTTCTTATTCTTCAAAAGGATGTATATCACAATGCACTGCATGGATTCGAATTGGATTTTCCAAATGAATACAAAAGTAAAGTTAGGTAGTCCAGCTTTAATCTGGAGCCGGTGTCTTGCAGCTGTCGTACAAAGCGTCGCACCTGAAGGAGAAGGGTCAGCAGATCGGCCTTCGCTGTGTGGAGGACGACCCCAAAATGCTGCACTCTCTGGCCGCCAGTAAACTGCAGAGTAACCTGGAGTACACGCGACAGTCCAAGGAGGCGCACTCCCAGTACAAGATCCATGCAGACCAGCCCGAGTTCATGCTGGCCAAGAAGAGCCAGGCCCAGGCCAGCGACGTGGTGTACCGCCAGAAACTGCACGACTACACCTGCGACCCGCAACAGCTCAACGTGAAGCACGCCAAGGAGGCCTACAAGCTGCAGAGCGACGTAAGCAGCTGCTAGCATGGTCTGGCACGGCGTGGTCTGGCACGGCATGGTCTGGCACGGCATGGTCTGGCACGGCATGGTCTGGCACGGCATGGTCTGGCACGGCATGGTCTGGCACGGCATGGTGTGGCACGGCATGGTGGGGTTTGGAAAGTTTAGTAAAAGTGCAGTAGGTTGGAGGCCAGAGCTGTTGTGTGTGATGCTACAGGTGTATTTGGACAGTCAGAGGTTTTATACTTAATTCTTGCTTCTTCATTATTCAAAAGCTAGAGATTTTAGACTTAACCTAGAGCTCTGTTAGCCTGACTCTCGCCAGACCCTTGTAGTTCCGCCATGATCCACTAGAGGCGTTTGGCCGAACACAAGGGTCTGGGATCGAGGCCTTCTCGTGCGTGTCTCACGGCAGCTAAAACAAACCAAGATGGCGGAGTAGAACCAGACGCCCGATAGACGCACTTTAATGTAATGTAATATAATGAATGTATAAACTAGAACTAGCAGCTGTACAGTCTCACATCTGCTCAAATATCTGTATCTGTGTGGTAAATATGATCCTATACTTACACTACTGCACTGGTGAGACACTAAACTGCATTTCACTGCATTGTTCTGACTTTGAAATGACAAAGTTGAATCTAATCTAATCTTTGTTGTAACTTGACAGATACAAAAGCAGTGTTATATTTACCTTTCTCTCGTTGCTTCCACAGAAGAACTACAAAGCCGATCTGAACTGGATGAGGGGAGCGGGCTGGACCCCTCCTGGATCACACAAGGCAGAACTGGCCCGAAGAGCGGCTGAGCTGGGACTCACGGAGGGGGTCAGCACCGACGAGGCCATCGCCAAGTACCAGCACATGATGATGGTGAGGCCCCGCCCACAAGAGGCCCCGCCCACAAGAAGCTTCAGGTTTCTGTGTTTGTGCCGATGAGGAAAGGCTGCAGTTGGAGAGAGCGGGTCTTATACACATTAGGCAAAGATGTGACGATGGTCGTACCATGTGTAAACTCTGGTCTTACCATGTGTAAACTCTGGTCCATGGTCATTCCCTACATGTACGTCTGGTCTTACCATGTGTAAACTCTGGTCCATGGTCATTTCCTACATGTACGTCTGGTCTTACCATGTGTAAACTCTGGTCCATGGTCATTCCCTACATGTACGTCTGGTCTTACCATGTGTAAACTCTGGTCCATGGTCATTTCCTACATGTACGTCTGGTCTTACCATGTGTAAACTCTGGTCCATGGTAATTTCCTACATGTACGTCTGGTCTTACCATGTGTAAACTCTGGTCCATGATCATCTCCTACATGTACGTCTGGTCTTACCATGTGTAAACTCTGGTCCATGATCATCTCCTACATGTACGTCTGGTCTTACCATGTGTAAACTCTGGTCCATGGTCATCTCCTACATGTACGTCTGGTCTTACCATGTGTAAACTCTGGTCCATGGTCATCTCCTACATGTACGTCTGGTCTTACCATGTGTAAACTCTGGTCCATGGTCATTTCCTACATGTACGTCTGGGTCTGATACCATGGGCTGAGTAATGGGCCCATGGTTCATTCACATTTTCTGTTGAATGGAAGAAAAAAAGCATCGTAGCAGACGCCATCTTGTGGATGGAATACGTAAATGATTGTTTTGTCTGAAAAGCTCCACAAAATAATATAAACCTTGACAATCTCAATGGAGACAGAGACACAGTAACTTAATCTACTATGTTGGCTTTTTTACTGCCAGGATTAGATTTGATTTAGGTAAATATTAACCCAGACTAATTCAGAATTTCGACAAAAGCTGGAGCCCTTCTGCAGAAATCAATAATCGATTATTTTCCACCTCCAGATGCAACACCAGGAGCAGCAGCAGAACCAGTCGTCGGAGCAGGTGGAGACCAGCGAAGAGGTCCACCAGGGAGTCAACATGGACGCCATGGAGGTCCTGCACGTCAAACGCAAGAAGGTCCAGACCATCCAGAAAAGAACCACCACTTCCTCTTTCAAGTCCATGGAGAAGAAATCCAGCAGCTCCTCCTCTTCGTCATCAGCCACGATTCACAACTCGCTCAAGTCTTCGTCCACGGCGGCGGCCATCGACGAGGCATAAGCTGTGGTTTATCAAGGCCGAGAGAACTAAACCACATTATTTTGTTCACTTTACGTCTACGTCTGAACTGATAAATGATAGTTGTGTTTATCAAAGTGGATTGGATAAAATAGTCTGAAAAGAAAAGTGAAAAAACAGTCGGAGCTCGAGCAATGTTCAAACTTTTATTCAATGTTTTTCCTGTATTTTCTGGTAAATGTGTGCTGCTGGTTCTAGACCTGGAGGTGTACTGTTATACTAACGTGTAGAGAGATAGAGGCATGTCCAGACTGAAGTGAAGAGATTCAACTTTTATCTCGTGTGTGAGAAAGAGAAACGTCACGTGGAGCAAAGGCTTTGGTTTACCGAGGTTCAATAAACCCCGAGTGTGAAGGTCCATGTTCTGTTTGTTAATCCGGCAGCTGCTGTTCAGAGCTGAAAACATTTTTACTTTTCACTCATGACTGAAAACTATGGAGAAAAACATGTTTGTGGAAATGATGCACTTTTGGTTTTGTCTGACAGGTTCAGGTTTGTGTTTCTGCGGAACTCGAAGCTGCGCTGGGAGTCCATGCTTGGTTTCATTCTAATAAAATGCTTTTTTCTAAAGCAAATTCTGTTGTTTTCTTTTATTTCATGGTTGGAGACAAGAGGAGGTCTCTTTAACTAAAACTGAGCTCGATGTAATCGTCTCTCATTTTGTTTAAAATCCAGTCTTTAAACTGCAGCACGTTGGCGTAGACTCCAGGTTTGTTCTAGAGTCCGCAGCCGTCGCCCCAACTCACCACCCCCGTGTCCCCCTGTGCACACAGCCACACATGATACAGTGATATACAGTAGACAGTACATAGATAGTTTACGGTATATAGAGTGACGCTGTGAGGCACAGACCTGACAGGCGTCCACGCCCCCCTGCAGGACCCCCGCACACAGCATACTGTCGTCCAGGATGTTGGCGTAGACGTGAGGCGCTCGGCATTTGTCTTTAGAGATCAGATACACGTTGGTGTTCAGCAGGTGGCTGCTGTATTTCTCTGCAACAAAGTCACAACAATGTGCTTAAAGGTCTCAGTCTTGTTTGAAAGAAAAGCAGAGTTATTGTGTTTCAGTCGCTCCCCATCCAGAGATGACGCACTGTTTTCCTGCAGGAAGACACGCTGCTTTCACAAACTGAGTTTCCTTCGCACACAGAGCTCCGTCTGTGGGTCTGAGCTTCAGCAGAGCTGCAACAAAAGGAACAAATGTGTCGGACTCAGCAGCAGCATCACATCCCAATGAGCTACAGCTAACTCTGAAGAACCTCACCGACGCCGCTGTACAAAGCTGCAGGGGTCTCTCTCCTCGTGGACGTAGGTGTCGGTCACTGCGATGGTCTGATCCATGTCCTCCTGTTTGAGGAGGTTGACTCCGCCCAAAACCACCTGGTATTCTTTATTTCTTTCCCTGTGAAGCACAAGTGTAGGACTGTCTCTTGTTCTTGTGGATCAGATAAAGCTGTAGTTTAAAGACAGTACATGCAGTGTGCGGCGGTGAGGACCCAGCAGGAGTTCAGCAGGATGCCTCCACAGATGTGACCGTACGACAGACTGGAGCCTCTGCTCCTGCTCTGCACCGACGCCTGCCACGGGTTGGATCCTGGGAACGCTCTGCTGCCTCCAAAGATCCTGGACGCACGGTTTGGTTTTTCAACTCCACACTGAGAGAACTGAGTGGTGGGAGACACTGTTGGGGCTGGAGGGGTTGGAACTGAAAAGGTAACGTTTGTAAAAGTCACCGCTCAATAATCCTTCATCTAGATTCAACAGTGAAGGATCAGGGATGTGCGTTACCTTCAGGGCATTTCTGGACTCTGCAGTAGTCAAAAGCCAGTCTGCCGCCTCTTCTGACGTAACACCACGGTTTGATGTCTCCATCTGGATTTCTGCAGAAATATGAGAATCATTTCTGCAAATATTCATCTTTCCAGAGTTGATGCAAAGATGTATTGGATGGAACACAGAAATCTCACTTGGAACACGGTAATCCCATATTCCCAGTCACTGAAGCAACACAATTCCCAACTACCTGCTGTGGTTGTTTCTTTCCAGTCCGTCAAAGTCTGGGAACTGGCTGAAGGGGTTCCCAGACTTCCCAGGATGAAGTAGGAATGCCAGTCCAGACAGTCCTCGCCGGCTTCAGTCACACTCACAGGACCTCGGTACGTCTCCCCATTCCTCACATAACAATCCCCGGGAACTGTCTCACACACAGACACACACACACGGACACACACACACACAGACACACACACACACACCACAGACACACACGCACACGCACACACAGCACAAACACACACAGAGACACACACACACACAAACACACGTACACGTTTTTGTTACCTGGTGGGTCCCTTTGACAGGGCCGTTCAGAATGGGACCCATAGACATAATCTTTTTTTCCTGGGACTACTTTAAGTAATACAAAACAGTCAATAGAAACCAAACAACTATTTTAAAGGAATTTTATTTTAGATTTTTTTTTTGAATTGCAGTGATTCTATTTTTGACATAGAATTTAATGCCACTCCATGTCCGATGTCTAAGGTCATCTGGTGAGGCATTAATGCAGGCCAGGCAGTGAGACTTCCCAGGGACCTTTCCAGTCTGTATGAAAGGTGTCATGGTCTTCTCCACAGCCTTCACCTCAGATGCAGACCATGGCTTTCTCTAACGTTCTAGGGAGAGAAATAAAAATATATTAGCAATATACACTCCCAGGGTTAGGACCAAGCAGCCTGGCTGTAATCCCCCACCTGGTACACTTACCAGAAGGGGCACTGCCACTACCATGGGGTGCATCTGGATGAATGGTTGAAGGTTCTCCGCTTGAAGTTTCTTTTAGCCCGTCCGTTTGTGAGAGGATCTCTACTGCTCTCCCTGTCGCATAGAAAATAAAAATACAAGTGGCCTTTAGGGGAAAAAAAATCATACATATTTTAATAATATCAAGAATTACCTTCAGGCTCAATTTGTATCTGGTCGAGGCTCTTTCCTTCGAATTCCGTCACTCTTCCCTGCTCCATGGCCATCAACACTTTGCTGATTTTGGCCAGCTCCAGTGTCCCCTCTGGTAGTCTGTAATATTGCCTGTGGATGCGAATGTCATGGCCGAGGAAGTTGGCTAGTATGTCCATCTCATTCTCTTTCATATTGAGAACTGTAGACATAGTAGCTATGTGCTTTCTAAGTTTGGTTGGGATAGCATCTCTGGATGCACCGCACCACATTCTTTGGCTACCTGGCGTAGGGAGTCTGATCCCCTGATGTGGGTGTCTGCGCCCGGGCGGGAAAAGAAGTATGGGTTATGGTCAGAGATGGAACAGGCCCTTCTGTTCTCCACCAGCACCTCCATCGAAGCAATCATTTCAGGAGTCAAAAGAACCGGCACTTTCCGACTTCTTTTCCCTTTAATTTCAATGCGTTGAAAATGCTGACACAGCTTTTTCTCAAGTTGGGACAGTCCCAGAGCAATGTCAGAATGGATCCCAGTCTTACTTCTTAAGGTAAACGCTGTCAGTGGCATCTTTGAAACCTCACCTTCCCTTCTTCGATTGAAAATGATGACCTCACAAAGAGTCAAAACTGCCAGTTTAGACCAATGCTTAGACGTTGGCTCACTTATTAGGGTTTGCACATATTCAGGTCGACATACCTCAATATGTGCATGCATGGCTCTAACGTCCTCAGTCAGAGGGAGCAGGTCCGGAGTGTTCCACTTGGCTTGCCGGAGGGTCTGTAGGGCAGCAGAAGAAACACAGACGTCCCACCTCTTCTCAAAAAGCAGCCGGCTTCGTTGGAGGTTTTTAATAAATAGTTCATCAACACAATGCTCCATTTTTGAGTCACATTCAAGAATATCTGCTAGCTTTCTGAGGCTATGGCCGAGTTTGAGGGCCAAGGATGGAGTCTTGTATTGATTTGTTTCCTCATCATATCCAGCCACAGACCTGACTGCATCAATCACATGGTTAAAGTTGGAAGGAATAAAGAAATCCTTCATTGTTTTCAGTTTCCCTGCGGTTTTTGCTTCGTTAATTAACCTACCGACTTCTCTCATTTTCTGCCTAATGTAATCATGCTTAGTCTTATCATGCCCGTGTTTTAAGTACAGGTGCTCTCCGAGTCTCAGAATCCCCTTTTCTGCTTTGACAACACCCGTGACCTCATCCTGATGCATTGCCCAAATTAAAGACCACAGCTTTTTGCTGATGCCCTCCGGTACAGGCTGGGCTAGGGAGCAGAGGGACTGGACCCTACTTCTACCTGGTTTAGCCTGGTTTAGCCTGGGCATCTTTCTGTGAAAGCCGGCACCTGGCCACATGCCTCCACAGCCACTTTCGCTTAAGCAATGCCCCAAAGTCTATACAGTGCAAAAACTCACTGGATTTAACTGGGCAATTTGGCTGTTTAGCTGGGACTAAAGTTCCAATGCCGGCCTTTAAAACCTCAAAATTGTGCTCACGGTTTCCACTATTCCTGATCAAATCAAACTGAAGTTTACGTGCTTTATATTTCACAGGTAGAGCCAATGCTCTGGCTACGTCACTTTCATTTCCATGTTTTCTAGTCAAATGACGGGACATTTTGGGGCAGGACATTGAACAGTAGAGGCAGAAGTGTCTCTTGCTGTAAACCCTGCCCCCATTTTTCTTCTTTTGCAGCTGCATGATAACAATCTTATTTGCCTTTGGTTCGTCACTTTCCGAGTCTTGAAGAAAAGTGTTTTTGATTTTTCTTTTTCCATACTTTTTTACAGGTTTCTTCTTGACAGTTAAATCGTCAGAATCTGAGTCGACTTCATCAATTAGGGACTCTTGACTAAGCTGCACAAACAACAAATAATTTGTAATCATTCTATATAACAATTTGAAGTCATGACTTGTAGTCAGCACTTACCAGTGGTTTGTAAGCGTGCGCTTCAGTGTGCTGCTCCATGATGTCTTGCAGCCTAATGAACCACACACTTGCACTTTTTTCTAGCCTGACACCTGATTTCCTCTGTTGTGCTGCTCCATGATTGGCTCCAGCCTGCTGGACTGAAATTGCCCCAGTGTGCCCCTCCTTGATATCCCGCAACCCACCACCAGGGTTCCGACACATAACACACTTTTTTCAGGAAAGTAAACCTCCAGGGGTCCTTTCCATATTTTTACAGAGACTGCATAAGGACCGTTAGAAAAGCATTACCCATTGATTATTAAGCTTGGACCAGTGGGGTCCGGTGTTCGGGCCCCACCACGTAAAACCAGTCCCCATGACGTGAGTGGAATCTCAGGTTATGGAACCCACCAGGAGTTGAAAACAAGTGCACACATATTCTCAAAGAATAAGGGTGGGCGCATTTCTCCCCGGGAGAGAGCGCATGAAATCTGTCTTGAAAAAGAGCAATGACAGGTCCCAGAACCAAGGGGAGTCCCTGGAGGTTTTAACCCCGAAAAAAGCCCTTAAATCCGGCTTAAAATAGGGCCATGCGGGTCCCAGAACCGAGGGGATTCTGTGGAGGTTCTATCCCCGAAAAAAGCTTAGAAATCCGGACATAAATGCAGCACTGGCAAGCCTGAGACCCAGGGTGGGTCCTCGGAGGTTTTAACCCCGAAAAAAGCCCTGAAGTACGGCTTGAAATAGAGCCATCACAGGCCTGGTGCTCCAAGCAAATGTGAAAATAATTCTAAGTGCTGTGGGCAGGATTCGAACCTGCGTGGGAGGACCTCAATGACTCCCCATTCCATCGCCTTTGCCACTCGGCCACAGCGAGCCCAGTACTACAGCATAGACACTTAGGTTTTTTGGCAAAACACTTAGGCTGATTTGTAGGCTGAGGGGTGGGAAAGGCCTGGTTCTCCAGGGGGGCTATGTTCATGTGTGGGGGCTACCAGGACCTCCAGGCCGGTTAGGGTTAGGTCTGGGGAGGGCCTGGGTCTCCATGGGGGTTAAGGTTAGGTGTGGGGAAGGCCTGGACCTCCATGGGGGTTAAGGTTAGGTGTGGGGAAGCCCAGGACCTCCAGGGGGGCTATGTGCAGGCGTGGGGGCGGCCTGGATCTCCAGGGGGGCTATATGCAGGCGTGGGGGCGGCCTGGATCTCCATGGGGGTTAAGGTTAGGTGTGGGGAGGGCCTGGATCTCCATGGGGGTTAAGGTTAGGTGTGGGGAGGGCCTGGATCTCCATGGGGGTTAAGGTTAGGTGTGGGGAAGGCCTGGACCTCCAGGGGGGCTATGTGCAGGCGTGGGGGCGGCCTGGATCTCCTTGGGGGTTAAGGTTAGGTGTGGGGAAGGCCTGGATCTCCATGGGGGTTAAGGTTAGGTGTGGGGAAGGCCTGGATCTCCATGGGGGTTAAGGTTAGGTGTGGGGAAGGCCTGGATCTCCATGGGGGTTAAGGTTAGGTGTGGGGAAGCCCAGGACCTCCAGGGGGGCTATGTGCAGGCGTGGGGGGCGGCCTGGATCTCCATGGGGGTTAAGGTTAGGTGTGGGGAAGGCCTGGATCTCCATGGAGGTTAAGGTTAGGTGTGGGGAAGGCCTGGATTCCCATGGGGGTTAAGGTTAGGTGTGGGGAAGCCCAGGACCTCCAGGGGGGCTATGTGCAGGCGTGGGGGCAGCCTGGATCTCCAGGGGGGCTATATGCAGGCGTGGGGGCGGCCTGGATCTCCATGGGGGTTAAGGTAAGGTGTGGGGAGGGCCTGGATCTCCATGGGGGTTAAGGTTAGGTGTGGGGAGGGCCAGGATCTCCATGGGGGTTAAGGTTAGGTGTGGGGAAGGCCTGGATCTCCATGGGGGTTAAGGTTAGGTGTGGGGAAGGCCTGGATCTCCATGGGGGTTAAGGTTAGGTGTGGGGAGGGCCTGGATCTCCATGGGGGTTAAGGTTAGGTGTGGGGAGGGCCTGGATCTCCATGGGGGTTAAGGTTAGGTGTGGGGAAGGCCTGGATCTCCATGGGGGTTAAGGTAAGGTGTGGGGAAGGCCTGGACCTCCAGGGGGGTTAAGGTTAGGTGTGGGGAAGCCCAGGACCTCCAGGGGGGCTATGTGCAGGCGTGGGGGGCGGCCTGGATCTCCAGGGGGGCTTTGTGCAGGTGTGGGGAAGGCCTGGATCTCCATGGGGGTTAGGGTTAGGTGTGGGGAAGGCCTGAATCTCCAGGGGGGTTAAGGTTAGGTGTGGGGAGGGCCTGGATCTCCATGGGGGTTAGGTGTGGGGAAGGCCTGGATCTCCATGGGGGTTAAGGTTAGGCGTGGGGGCGGCCTGGATCTCCTTGGGGGTTAAGGTTAGGTGTGGGGAAGGCCTGGATCTCCGTGGGGGTTAAGGTTAGGTGTGGGGAAGGCCTGGATCTCCATGGGGGGATTCTCCATGGGGGTTAAGGTTAGGTGTGGGGAAGCCCAGGACCTCCAGGGGGGCTATGTGCAGGCGTGGGGGGCGGCCTGGATCTCCATGGGGGTTAAGGTTAGGTGTGGGGAAGGCCTGGATCCCCATGGGGGTTAAGGTTAGGTGTGGGGAGGGCCTGGGTCTCCATGGGGGTTAAGGTTAGGTGTGGGGAAGGCCTGGACCTCCAGGGGGGCTATGTGCAGGCGTGGGGGGCGGCCTGGATCTCCATGGGGGTTAAGGTTAGGTGTGGGGAAGCCCTGGACCTCCAGGGGGGCTATGTGCAGGCGTGGGGGGCGGCCTGGATCTCCATGGGGGTTAAGGTTAGGTGTGGGGAAGGCCTGGATCTCCATGGGGGCTATGTGCAGGCGTGGGGGGCGGCCTGGATCTCCATGGGGGTTAAGGTTAGGTGTGGGGAAGGCCTGGATCCCCATAGGGGGGCTA